GATATCGATTTCTGTATTGACTTGGCTCCAGGTACCCAGCCTATATCTATCCCACCATACCGCATGGCTCCGAAAGAGTTGAAGGAGTTAAAAGAACAACTTGAGGAGTTGCTAGCAAAGGGGTTTGTCAGACAAGGTGTATCGCCTTGGGGTGCACCAGAGTTATTTGTGATGAAGAAAGATGGGACTGTGCGGATGTGCATTGATTACTGCCAGTTGAACAAAGTTATCATTAAGAAGAAGTACCCGCTGCCGTGTATTGATGATCTGTTTGACCAGTTGCAGGGTGCCAGGGTGTTCACTAAGATCATCTTGAGATCGGCGTACCATCAGTTGGAGATTCAGGATTTGGATGTTCCAAAGATTGCTTTCCAAGCTAGATATGGCCATATGAGTTTCTAGCGATGTCTTTCGGCTTGACTAACACCTAAGCAGCATTTATGCATTTGATGAACAGGGTGTTCATGCCATATATTGATTTGTATGTCATTGTCTTCATTGATGACATTTTGATCTATTCGTCAGCATGGAGGAGTACGAGCAAAATTTAAGTTTGGTGCTTCAGACCTTGCGGGAACAGCAGCTATATGCTATGTTCTCCAAGTGTGAGTTTTGGCTAGATTCAGTAGCATTGTTGGGGCATGTTGTATCGGGCAAGGGTATTAAGGTGGATCCCAAGAAGATCAAGGCAGTGCAGAGTTGGCCTTGTCCTACCATGGCGACTGAGATCAGGAGCTTCTTGGGGTTAGCAGGTTATTATTGTCTATTTATGGAGGGCTTCTCAACTATTGCAACACCTTTTACTATATTGACCTAGAAAGGTGCTCTGTTCTGATGGTCCGATGATCGTGATCCGAGCTTTCAGAAGCTCAAGACCGCATTGACTTCATCACCTGTGTTAGTGTTGCCTTCCGATTTAGGGATTTATACTGTGTATTGCGATGCTTCACGCGTTGGCTTGGGTTGTGTTTATTGATGCAGGAGGGGTGAGTTATTGCATATACTTCACGTCAGCTGAAGCGCCACGAGAAGAATTACCCTATACATGATTTAGAGTTGGCCGCGATTGTTCATGCTCTTATGATCTGGAGGGAACTCAACTTGAGGCAGTGCAGGTGGCTTGAGTTACTAAAGGACTATGATATGACTATCCTTTATCATCCGGGCAAGGCGAATGTAGTCGCTGATGCGTTCAGCAGAAAGGTGGAGAGTATGGGTAGTTTGGCATTCCTTTCAGTAGAGGAGAAGCCATTAACTTTGGACATTCAGTTTGGCTAACAGACTTGTGAGGTTGGACATATTAGAGCCCAGCCAAGTTCTTGCATGCGTCATTGCCTAGTCTTCACTATTGGAGCAGATCAAGGCTCGTCAGTCTGATGATCCGCACTTGTTATTTCTTAGAGAGACGGTACTACAAGGTGGTCCCAAGGAGGCTACTAACGGTAATGATGGTGTTTTGTGAATCTAGGGTCGCCAATGTGTTCCTAATGTTGATGTCTTGAGGGAGAAGATTCTAGAGGAAGCTCATAGTTCTCGGTATTCTATTCATCCTGGTGCTACAAAGATATATCGCAACCTGAGGGTGCATTATTTTTTGCGGCGGAAGAAGAAGAACATAGTTGAGTGTGTTGCAAGGTGTCTAAATTGCAAGCAGGTTAAGAATGAACACCAGAGGCCAGGTGGCCTACTCCAGCAGATGACTATACCTGAGTGGAAGTGGGAGCACATTACATTGGACTTTGTAGTTGGGTTGCCGTGGACCTTGCAGAAGTTTGATGTAGTTTGGGTTATTGTCGACATGTTAACCAAGTCACTACCCTTCATTCTGGTTGTGACAACGTATACTTCAGAGAGGTTAGCTTAGATTTATATCCAGGAGATAGTTCGGTTGCATAGTGTGCCTGTTTCCATCATATTAGATAGAGGCCCTCAGTTTACTTAAAATTTCTAGAGAGCAGTATCGAGTGAGTAGGGAACCCGTGTAGAGCTCAGCACAATATTTTATCCGCAGACCGACGGGCAGTCGGAGCAGACAATTCAGATCTTGGAGGATATGTTCAGAGCATGTGTGATTGACTTCGGAAGGCAGTGGGATCGATTCTTTCTTTTGGCCAAGTTTGCTTACAACAACGCTTATCAGTCCAGCATCGAGATTGCTTCATTTGAGACTTTATATGGCTGGCGATGTCGTTCTCCCATTGGATGGTTTGAGTCCCGGTGAGGCTAAGTTATATGGTACTAATTTGGTGAAGGATGTGTGTGCGGGGAAATCGGGAGACCAATTTTTCCTCGACATAATGCTTCGAAGAACAAATCCCAAAGGCACGGGATCTCGGTTCGGTCGCCTCCCTCGAGATCTAACCGATGCCTTGCTCAGATCGAGCATCGGCTAAAGACCCTGATGGGCGATGATATCCCCCGAGGGATGTATCCGGGGTCCACGAGACTTGTCCAAACGGCTCGACGTCAGCTCCCCTACAACCTAAGAAAAGCAGGCTGTCACATCTCATTCTTTTATTGTATTGTTTATTCCATATTAAGTTTGGACGCCCCCCTTTTTCTATAAAAGAAGGGTCATTAACACCTTGTATCTCCATCTCCATTTGTCTTACAAAGAAAGCAATAATATTCTCTCTCTCCCTTTCTCTAGATCTCTCTTTGGTTCTAAATCATATCTATTGATAGCTATTCTCTTGGTTTGTTAAATAAATATATCTCGAGATCATCCTTAGTATTTCATCGTTTCTTCATTTATTCTTCGTCATTTAGCTCAAGATTGACGATATAAAGCCTTGTATGCACATATTTATCTGTTATCCCCTTCACGATTACCCTCGATAAGGTTATTTTCGATAGGCTCGAGGTAGGCTCGAGGTCTGGCCCCGAGGTATCTATTGGCTTGTCCTAAGCCCGGGAACATCCCTTACTGGTTCGATTATCGTTTTTGGCTAGCTCGATCTTTACTGTTTTTACTCCACATTTAGCACTAATCACCCTTTCAAACTAGCTCGGGAATAGATCACGTATTTTTAGAATTCCATTTACAAATTTAATTGTTGTTACCATTTTCACGGTAAACAGTTTGGCGCCCACCGTGGGGCTAAAAATAATAGTGATTATTTTCACTTAAACGCACGATATCATTCACACTTTTTCTTGCCCGAGAACTCTTTGATTGCAGGTCAAAATGTCCGGCTCGATAAATAGGGTCGAGAACAACGACCTCGAAGACCACGGGGAAAGCGGCGTGGCCATTCCAGCCGTCGGAGCACCTCCACGGAATCCTGATGGCGTTCCCGGACCAATCCCAGTAGACGCTGATTCGCAGGACGCTCAGCAAGCAGAAGAAACGTCTCACACCGACAGGAGCATACGACGCATTGACCAAATGGGAGCGCAAAAAACCCCGGCCCAGGAAGAACAGGAAGTTAGTCTTCGCGTTATCTTTGAAATGTTGCAGGCACAACAACTAGCAATCGCTCAGCTGCAGAGCCACCCAAGAACCCCTAGTACAGTGGCACTAGATACAGCTCCCCCCGCAGAGCGGGTACTCGAAAGGTCAAGCAACAACGAGTCACTGGATGACCCCGCTATCATAAAATTACTTGAGGACCTCACCAAAAGGATCGAATCGGGAGAGAAAATGATCGCAGCCAATGATAAAAGGGTCGAAACCTACAACTCTAGGGTCGATCACATCCCTGGCGTCCCTCCGGTCCTTAAGGGTCTAGATTCAAAGAAATTCATTCAAAGGCCATTCCCCAAAGAAGTGGCGCCGAAACCTATCCCGAAGAAGTTCAGAATGCCGGAACTCCCTAAATACAACGGCACATTCGACCCCAACGAACACGTCACTGCGTATACCTGCGCAGTAAAAGGTAACGACATAAAGAGTGACGAGATTGAATCCGTACTATTGAAAAAGTTTGGGGAAACGCTTTCAAAGGGGGCCGTGATGTGGTACCATAACCTGGCCCCTGACTCCGTAGACTCATTCACCATGTTAGCGGACTCTTTTGTAAAAGCACACGCCGGAGCCATTAAAGTGGCGACAAGGAAGTCCGATGTTTTCAAAATGAAGCGAAGAGAAAATGAGATGCTATAGGAGTTCGTGTCCCAGTTCCAGATGGAACGAATGGAGTTACCACCAGTCTCCGATGATTGGGCGGTGCAGGCCTTCACCCAAGGCCTGAATGAACGGAGCTCCATGGCTTCGAAACAACTGAAACAAAATCTGATCGAATACCCGGTCGTAACCTGGTCGGACGTCCACAACCGGTATCAATTGAAGATCAGGGCAGAGGATTACCAACTGGGGGGCCCATCGAGCTCGGTGTACCCAAGCAGGTTCCTAACAATAGAGACGAAGCCAAGCAAAGAGCGGTATCAGCCGTACCTCGAAGACAGAAGGAACGCCCCAAGGTGCAATCTGCCCCGCAACGATAGGAAGATGGATCGAGGACAGGATCCTCGAGGGGTCATCAACAGGACCCGGTTTGACTGAAACATGGGACCAGCCAACGCACCTCACTTATTGAAATACAATCTCAGCGTCGACGTATCAGACATCGTGTTCGCTATCAGCAAATTCCGAGATACAAAATGGCCCAAACCAATATAGTCGGATCCTTACAGAGAAATTACAACTTGACGTGCAATTTCCACAACACACACGGCCACTGGACCGAGGATTTCCATCAACTACGAGAAGAGGTAGTCCGACTGCTCAACAAGGGACACCTCCGAGAATTCCTTAGCGCCAAAATTCATGTTTGGCCATAAATTTTGCTCAAATCCCAAATCCTAAAATCAGCTTGGGCCAAAATCCCAAAACTTGAAAATTATATACATAGTTTTCCAAAATAAAGTTGAAAAATATGTTTTAAAAACGTATATCCAAACATATTTTCATCTTCGAAGAATCAGATTTTTTAAAATTTTATGGCCAAACGCTAGCTAAGTACTTATTATAATGTATTGTGAAGCTACCTAAAAAGACAAGCCAACTGGGACTTGGTGGTGTAGAAACTAGAAAGATAAACTACAATAAAGAGAGAAGAAGAAACCCCATTACTACTTCTCAATAAAGAAGCACATCTTCTTCTTCTTTTTTGGTTGGGTAGATGGTACAGACCTAAAGAAAGAGAAAGATAGTGAGTAGTATTGTAGAGAGAGAGAGAGAGACTGGAACTACTACCCGCCTGATAATTGTTAGCTGCTCATTAGTAGAGTCATGTAGAAGCTTCAAATGCCACCTGAAAATTTACCACATCTCTCAACAACTACTCTCTAAGTCTCTTCTCTCTCTTTTTCCCCTATCTTTCTTGGGTTTTTGATTTGATTTCTTTTCTGCGCAATTTCTTGCTACTTCTTTCCTGTGCTTATTCATTATAAAGATCTATGCTTATGCTTTATAATTCTTGGGTTATTTGAATTTTGAAGTTGTCAATATTGTGTTTTGATGCATTACCCTATTGGGAAGAAAATCATATTGCTAATGTTGGTTTATATAGATTGATTTTTCAATTGAGACTCTTTTGTTTCTACTTTTACTAGATCCTGACTCAATGTGTTTAGATCTGTGAATTAAGCTTAATATACACTTTACAGACTGAATGTAATGTCTTGTATTGAAGTCTGTTATAAGCTGCTCGCAGAATGGAAGCTTCTAATTGATGAATTTGTAAACCAGTTATTCGGTTTGACTAGTACTAAACAATGAGAGACAGGTTCTGGATCACACATTTATGGTTCATTCCACTGTTTATGGGGGTAAAATTAGACCAATGTATTGTTCTTACACTTCAGTTTCAATGATGGATTGATGGAATGGTAAATATGGATTAGGTATCCCATGTGTTTTTTTAATCCCATTGTACAATAACACTCATTTCAGATCCCAAAGCGTAGTTGAGCTCTCAAGAAATTAGTGCATTTGCCTGTAAGCTAAAACAGTCGTTTGAATATGAAAATACTATACCTTCTCAAAATTGATAATCAAATGTCGTTTTTAGAGCTTGTCTTATGCTGTATGATACTATTCATTTGGTAACTGGTAATAATTTCTTGATCATATGACTCATCAGTTCATCTTTTGACTTCTTTTAGTTTTAAATCCAGCGCATTTCTACTTTTTTGTTTAACAGATAAAGCCATGTTTCTGGTCAGTTGTTTATGGTTTTTGCTTCCTATTACAAACTAAGACTGTACTAGTTGAATAAGCATTTGTAACTCTTCGAATATATTCTATGACGAGCTAACAGTAGAAAAAACCACTTAATTTTAACAAGTTCCATTTGTAAAACTATGTAGTGTTTGAGCTGGAAAAGCTTGACTTTCCGTAATTGAGCGTGTCTTGACATGGTAAATTGGCTTACTTTCTATGAACGATATTTCCTTGTTTGAAGAGTCAGCTAATCCCCCATCTTTATTAAATTATGACCTCCACTATTTGCTTATATATTTAGGATTACACATGAAGGATAATAAACATTGTTGTATGAAGAAATCAGCCCATATTAAAAAATGTTTACATCATTGCACAAAGCCTTAGAGGAATGAGGTTATTTATAATTCAAGTTCACCATCATGCTTACGGCCGAAGAATAAGTTTTAGTCTTTCTTGTGATTTTAATCAAGTAAACTCCAATTGAAACCATGAACATTCTTATACTAGATGAAGAGACAAAGACTAAAACCTTCTAATGATTTGGTGGCTTGAGCTAGTGGAAAGTAGCAGGTACTAGGTGAAATAGTCGAGGTGAGCACAAGTTGGCCAGAACACCACCTTTTATATGTAAGAAAAAAGAAGAAAAAACCGAAACCTTCTAATGATTGATATTCCTTTTTCCCTAATAAATATAGGTCTGAAATGCATTAGCCTTTTTGGTGGATAGAAGCTTCTTGTTTTTTTTCCTGATAAAAAAGAAGCTTCTTAACCATGATCACTCCTTCAGGTTTAAGAGTCAGAATACAGTCCCTACTTTAACTCCTTGCTTGGCTGCCGAGGCTGATCAAATGAATTTTTTACAGTGACACAACCACCTTCTCCTACGAGTTTTCAATCGCTTGATATATTTTTTTTGTAGTGTTCCTTCTGGAGTATGCTTTCTTCTTCTTCAATGTTCAAGTGTATTGATGCAATTAATCTATGATCTGCAGGACATGGGAACTTTGGCACCTGAATCTGAGGTCATACGCTCAGAAAAATACTTAGCATTGGGGCTGAAGGTGTCTGGCAAGCAAAAATCAGGAAAACCCAGAGTTCTATCGCTTCTTTCAACACTTCTTGAGAGGTCTGTTCAAAAAACCGAAAGCTTATTAGAAAGTACTCAAAGAAAAGATGTGATTACATTATTTCATGGATCAAGGACCCCGTCGCTCGGCATCGAACAATACTTGGATCGCATTTTTAAGTATTCATGTTGCAGCCCTTCATGCTTTGTGGTTGCACACATTTACATGGAGCGATTCATTGAACACACTAGTGCTCATTTAACTTCCCTCAATGTTCACCGACTACTAATCACAAGTGTGATGGTGGCAGCAAAATTCATTGATGATGCGTAAGTCTATCTCAGACATGGTCTATATTACCAAATTATTTTACCCAAATGTTTACTCCATCTGGTCCATTTTATGTAAGATTATTTCCTTATTAATTTGTTCCAAAACGAAAAACACATTTTTATATTTTGACAACAATTTAAGTTAAACTTCTTGATAGTATGATTTTATAGCCACATAACTATTATCAAATGTAGACCATAAGTTTCAAAAGCTTTTCTTTTCTAACTCCGTGTCCAGTCAAACTTGTTCACATAAAATGAAACGGAGGGACTAATAGATATACATGCTTTGAGATTTATTGTCGTGTTGATTATTAATCAATTGGACAGTTGAGTGTTAAGAGTCCAACCTGAAGCTTGAACCTCGTTCCCACCCTATGCAGCAGCTTTCCATTAGGATTACTAACACGTAGTAGACTCACAGGAATTACTATACGCTTGCATGTATGCTGTTCATTATCTGCTGACTGCTTGAAGCTCAATGGTTTGTGATATATTTTTTTTAGCAACAGACCCCCTCAAGAGTGAGAAATAACATTTCATTTCTAGGAATTTGCTTGAATCTTTATGGTGCTCTGCATAATTTTCAGATTCTATAACAATGCATACTATGCAAGAGTAGGTGGTGTAACCACAAAAGAGTTGAATAAGTTGGAGATGAAATTTTNATATATATATATATATATATATATATATATATATATATATATATATATATACACAAGCACGCAGGCGCCCTCTCCCTCTGCAGGGACCTCGCGACTATAGAACGGTCAAATCTATGCCCCGCACCGAAAGGAAAACAGCTTGTCAAAACACGCCTTCTATGGCCTCAGCAAACGAAAACCAAGCTCCCCGATTGTCCTCCTGGCTTGGGCCAATTCCTCCGAGAAAAGGAGCCCCCCGCACCGACCTGATCGGGATACTCCTCGGCAAAAAAGCCACGAAATAGCTACCCTTTGATCGTTGGGCCATCTGGTCGAAGGTTATTTTAGCTTGCCCACTTCGCCTGATGTGTCTCGAGACACCCGAAGGCGGAACCCGAGAATAATTAAACAGCGGATACGCCTGAAGAGACGACCCAAGCGGCGCTATCAATACGCCATTGACAGAAAAGGCAAATCCCTGGAACATGCACCCATGAAATCGCTCCGGCCTAGAAGCACGGAGGATCACCGCCTTCCGCCCATAAAGGCAGATAGGAGCCGGAGAACCTACCCAAGCTCGAGCCATGATGCAACTCGGAGACTACCTCCAAAACCGATCTGTGCGATCGAGAGCAGCGACAGGGAAAAGGTACAAGAGGAGCAAAAACCTTAAAAATTTCTTATATTACATGCAAAAACATTCTCCACCTACAGGCACGCCAAGCGCGCCAGAAACAAAGTTACGAAACAACGGAACCTCTATTCTTCGTCAAAAAGAACGCCCCCTGCAGCGTCCACAAGGAGTGGACAAACATCGTCTTCATCCACCTTGGCTCAGGCCAACTCCTCTGAAAAGACAAGGCCCTCGCTCCAGCTTCCTTGAAATGCCTCCCTCCAGGTTCAAACAGCAAACACGTCCTTCGACCCTCTCTTCGCGATCGAGGGCTCGAATCAACTCGGAATGAATGGCAACAACTTCCCCCATACAAAGTCACCATCTCTCGATCAGCCCTGGGTCGGCTTGATATAGCTTCCGCATCAATTACCCCGGGGCATTCATCTGAACCGGGGTATTCTCGCAGGACAAGTTGAGGTGAACCTCGAAGATCAGGCTCGAGATTACCCAAGGCTCAGGTCCTAAAAGAACCAGCCCGGATCTAAGGCCATCGCAAGTCCACAAAATGGAGCTTCGTGTACAAGAAGGAAAACACGAGATACGCCCCTGCAGGACATCTCCTTGTCACCCTGAAAACAAGTAAAGAAGGTGTCGGGGAATAACGTCAGCGGCCAACGCCGGACATCGAGACATATGCCCGAGTTCGCGACTTCCACTCCGTAGGAGTAGACGTCGAGGGCCAACCTTACGCTCTCTGAAGGAGTTACCCACATCAACAGGGCTCCCTAGTGCACCCGAGAATGACCTCCATCCGGGGTATCGTCATCGAAAGCCCCGAAGGATGCAAGAGCAAAGAAACGCCAAGTAGAAAGCATAAATATATCTCGGCGACCTGGGAGGATCATCCACACCCAGATTAATAAAAACTCCGGGGTACCCAAAGATGACCTACATTTTGGGCATTACCCCCAGAGGCCTCGAAATTCAGCATAATTCGGGAGACCCTCATGGCACCGGTCTCTCGGGCCGACCAACAGAGGAACCAATAAGAACCCGTGTCAAGTGGCAAAAAAGCAAGGCTGTTTCACATTTATCAAAGCTCCGAACAAAATCAAAGTAGTGCACCCGCATGGGCGAATCTCCAAAGTAAATTCAAGCACATTCCGGAGAATTATCTATGGTCCAGAAAGGCTACCCCCCCCCCCCCCCCCCGCATATGATTACCTCTCAGTGCCTCTCTCGAGGAACCCAAGATGCCATCAACTATCTCTACGCTATCTGAGGGAGTCAACGGCCTGAATATGTCGGGTCGGCTTAAGCTCGGTTAGAAGCCCGATGATTGGGTTCGATGAAAGCCATACCGACCAACACGGGGTTCGAGAAAATGCTTCATCAGCGGTCGACAACAAACCAAGGCTTACAACAAACATAGGAATATATCGGAAAAGGGTAGGGACTGAAAGCAGAGAACCAGTAAAAACATATTTATATTCGTATAAACCCTTATATACAATTGCATCTTACATGATTACAAAAGCTTCTTTTACAAAGGGAAAGAATACAGGCAGCATACAAGTCCAAAAGCGAACACCCTACATGTAGCGCTTCCAAAGTCATCCTTTCGATCATATGACCTCAAAGGCAATATCTTCCAAGTCCGGCCCCCGCCAGGATCTCATCCATACTTTCCCGAAATGGCATCTTCAAAAGGAAGCCAGGAGAAGAGCAAAATGACGAAGGAATACCATAGGAAGGCAAGAAGTGGCTGGGCGAAAAATTCGACTAGCGCAGACTTCGCCTGCATATTTCCCCCGAAGCCACTTCTCAAGATGTCGCCTCGACCCAGAAGGCAACGGCCGAGTTGAGCCCATCACCACACTCCCCGGAATCCAAAGGGGGTGTAATACGCTGGACCAAGGAAGGAGGGTGAGCAACGGTGTATAATCCGAGCCCCCTCTTGAGCAGCGGTGGATAATCCGAATCTTTCTCCAGGTCAAAGGACACCGACCTCCTACTGTTGATACCCAATTTTTCCCTATGTATTTTATATACAAAATACTTTCAAAATAGCATGTACATGCATATTTAAGCATGCCCAAGAGTTTTGGTATTTTTTCCTAATTTTTAAAGATTTTAAAACCAATTTATTGTCTATTTTATCAGTACAAAATCCAATAATTATTCCCATGATTATCATTTTGGTGAATAATTTATTTTTTATTCTCATATTTGCACCAAAATATAATTAAGGTGATTTTTTCATATTTTTACAAATTTATTTGGTATTTAAAAGACTCAATTGCGTATAACTGCAATTATAGCCTACTTTAAGATTAATAGCATTTTATAATTGTTAAATTAGTTCCAGTATTTTTAGATTAATAATTATATAGTATTTGTTGGATCAGTCTTTTAAATTTACTTTTAAAATCATTACTGCTATTTTTATAAAATAAAAGGGGAAAATTGGCTATTTAACATATAGCCTATTTCTATTTCAATTACAGCTTTTTTTTTTACCTTTCAATTTTAACCTCAAATTGGCCCAACTTTAGTACCCAAATCGGACCAGCCCAATCCCTAAATTACCCGACCCCTGACCCAAATAAAAAACCCGCCCGGCTCATATTCAATCCAGGCCGTTGATCATTTTGATCAACGGCCAAAATTCCCCCTTTCCTTTTTAATCTCAAACCCCCCCCACCCCCC